ATTCGAATTCATAAAAGAAAATATAACCAATAAAAATATACATACACAATTAATTCAGATTACAGAGTAAACAACAAAGTAAAAAAAATCACGGGAAAAGAATCTAGAAAAGCTCAACATATGGAAAACCATTTTTTTTGTTTTTGGTCAACGATGTTTTATTATTGAATCGGAACCTAAGTTGCAGGTACAGATTGTTCTAGCTCACCCTAGGTACAAAGTGGAAAGTGACTTTTGAGAATAACATCATAAGCAATCTAATGTCTTTAAGAGTTTCAAACAGTTCCGTCGAATCCGCATTGACTTGTAAGATTCTGATAAGCGCTTGACAATCGGATCGTATGTGGAGTTCTGTTATATGTCTTGTTGCTGCTTGTGAAAGAGCTAAGCGAATTGCCCATGCTTCCCCTGCCATAGCCGAAGGGAGGTCCGCTTTATGATCCGTCACTTCCTCCTCCTCTTGTCCCGTCATATACCTAAAGATCATTCCCATACTTTCCTGTTTTGAGCTTTCCTTCCACGCTGCATCGACGTGACACAGCACACCTGACGATGGTAAAGGCGGCTCGGTAACTGGGGGCGGTGGTCGTGGCTTAGGTAGTTGGAGCTGTGCTTCAGCCCAGCTTCGGGTTTCTCTAGTGGCTTTGTTTACTATATCGCCTGCCTCAAATGTCTTGCCTTCGAAAATAAGTTGATTACGACTGGTCCAGAGATACCATCAAATCCAGGCATGTAAGTGAGCCGTGCATCCAGAGGGGGGAAGATTAATCCACTTCTTTGCTTTGCTAAGCAGTTCGCTCACTGAGTCTCCTATCAATAATCTATGCGGGCTTGTGACAGGTGCTAGCTCCCAAACCGCTTGGGCAAAAGGGCACGAGATCAACATATGTTGAACCGTTTCCAAAGCTCCACACCGCTTGCACAAACCATCCACCTCAATGCCGCGCCTTTGCAGCGCTTCTCCCACTGGGAGACCATTAACCGCGGCTTTCCAGAGGAATGTTTTAATCTTTGGTGACGTGCGGAGTTTCCAGATGTTGGCTTGCCAATTAAACTGAGTTGTGTTCGGTTGCTCTGTTTCCAGTTGTAACAGAACATAACCCGTTTTCGTAGTGTAGGCTCCGTTCTTTGTCATGAGCCAGGCTATCCGATCCGGCTGTTTGATGGATGATATAGTGCGTTTTTAGCACATTCTAACATTTGTTTTGTAGGTTTTTATCGAGTATTTCTCTCTATATCGAGTCTTTTCAGGTCTAAAAGTGGCTGGAAAGAAGAATTGGAACTTACAAGGAGGTTTGGCGAAAAAAGAAGGAAAACACGACTTTTTGGAGGTTCTGGAGAAAGAGAGCACCTGCTCCCCGATCAGCCCGACCTGCTCTCCAGAAGATCCACTTTTGGAAATTTCATTAAACCTAATTTTCGCCACCTAGATTCACCCTAATCTACTCCAGCCGCCATATCCTTAAAAAGAGGAGATATCTTGAAAATAAAGGGCGGCAGCTAATCATCATCATATCGAATCATATCATCTTTGTTACACACACGTTTTTGAGCGATTGAGAGAGAGGATTTTTGCTAGTTTTTGCTTTGGAGATTTCGATTGTTGTCTTCCTTGTGATTGAAGTTTTCTCAAACCTCAAACTCTTTTACTTATTCTATGAATTCTTTCTCCTCTTTCGTGATGTC